TTTTGAGAACATTTCTCTTCGTTATTAGTCTTTAAAAATAGATTTTAATGTTTATACAGTAGTCTTTTGAAATTTATTTAACCCAGGATTTCTCAACCTTAACATTATTGGCCAAATAATTTTTTGTTCTGGGAGATTGTCCTGAACATTGTAGGATGTTTAGCATCATCCCTGGTTCTACCCACTAGATACCAGTAGCACCATCTCCTCCCACTCAGATGTGATAACAAAAATGTCCTAGACATTGCCAAATAAATAAATGTCCTAGGAGCACAGAATCACATCCTGTTGAAGACCACTTATTTAACCATATGCGTTTTACATTTTTATACAGTATTTCTCATCATAGTACTTTTTTTCTGGAAAGGCTCAAGATTGGTATAGCATATTTGGAGATGTCCTGTATTGTCCATGTACATTTATTGATACCATTATAGTTTCATATAAATGTATAATTATATTTGATTTATACAATGATATGTAGTTTTTTGAGTATGTTACTTTGGTGATAATATATAGTGAATAGATCTCTTAAAAATTTTGTTAGTTGTGTTTTTGAGACTCAAATTGTATGCTTTGATTGACTTACAGTATAATTTCAGTTATGCTTTAAAAAAAAGTCTTATTTGTATTTGACACCAACTGTGGTTTTTGTTGTTGTTTTTTTGTTCTCCCTCTATCTTTTCTAATAGTAATAAAAATAAATATTTTAATATAGGCTATGATTTATGAAGAGAGAATTATTTAAAATGTAAATTTTCTAAAATTGAAATGTTCTGACATTAGATTTTGATAGCTTCTTTGTATCTTAAACTTAGAAGGTTGACTTACCAGTTTTGAATATTTCAGTTCTTAAGGTAATTAGAATTCTATAGAGAATGTTCTAGAGGAAAGACTTTCTTTTATACCTTTCTATTGATGGTTGATTATTAATTTGCTTTTTATTAATACTTGCTTTTTCAGTGTGGAAGTTTAAATTGCATTTTTTAACAATATTTTTTTTTTGAGTATGTGAGTGTTCCCTATTATGTCTAGCTTTAAAACACTGGATATTTATTAAAAGGATTTGTCCCTGGTCAGATGTAGTTTATGGCCTGAGACCAAGGAAACCAGTCAATCACCTTCTTAAAGTTCCTAGAGGTTCAGCTGAGATCTTTCTCATAGGTGAAGCTGGGTGGGATAAAGGCCATCTCCATAGAGTGAGATTGTGAATTGTCTAGGAATGCTCAACTGGTGGTATTTTTCACTAACTTAACTTGGACTTTGTATCTTACCTCTCCTCTTCAGTCTATCTAGTGCAATTTTATTTTGTGGGGTGGAAAAAAATAAAACAAGACAAAACTGGATTTTAATAAATAGTATCCAGAAATAAAATTTTAAGTTCTATATATTAATAGTAACAACAGAAAAGGTAGTGATCTTTCTGTTAACCTCCAGAATTCATGTAACACACATTTAAAAAAAATAAAATCCAAGTCTTCATTTGGACTGTAATGGTTTATAAAATGTACCAGTGTGTGAAGATATGGATAAAATTAAAACAGCATGAAAAGTTGGTTGACACACCAAAAAATTTCTTATACCCAAGTTTGAAATTATCAGGTGAAAGGGCTGTATTCTCATTGGTATCTATGTTAGGTGACAGGACTCCCACCATGCAAATTTACCTTTAATGTTAGTAATAAAATAAGAGGCTTGCCTTAATTTGTTATCCCAAAAGTTGTCTTTTCTTTTTTTTTTGCTTTTAAGTTCAAAATTCAGTAAGAATGACTGTGATATGAAATTTATTTTTGGAGTGTTCTAGAATCCTGTACAATGGTTTAAAGGACTTGTCTTGAATTAAAAGTGCTATACACTGAGTGAAAATCCATGTTAGTTGAAGAATTGATTCTTTTTAAAGGAAAGCTGCAAATTTTTCTTGTATGGGTAAATGTCACTCTCTTCATATCTCTGCTTAGCTGCATTTCAGGACTTGTACTATTCCACTGGGTTGTCATAGAAACGCAGTTAACTGTCATCTCAACACACTGTTGATGGTTTTATTTGTAGGTTTGCCTGATTATGAAAATTTCACAAAAATTTTGATTTGCTTCTTATTAACACTGGATGGTTTTCCTTGGAAGTTCAAGTTGTACAGAAGCCTTTTTGGTGTTTAAATTTTTAAAAAAGTGAAACTCTATATTAAATCTGCTTGATTTTTTAAAAAATTGTTTTTTATTTAGAATGTGATATATAGTCTGCAGCAGTAGAATAACCTCTGTGAATTGTATTTTTGAATCACTTTCTATTTTCTTTGTTTACAGCAAGCAGAAAAAAAAAACTTAAAAATTCACCGTTAGCTTGCTTTTAGCTTAACATAAAAGATACCTGTCAGAAAAGTGTGAAATGCTACATCAAGTGCCTAATATTGGAGTTTTCATTTTATTTATGGTTTTTGAAGCCTGGCACGAATGCTCCAGTGAACTGTGTTGTGAAAGTATTTATTTTTATATATTTATGTGAGAGGAATTATTTAGTTTTCACTTATAAATAAGACAGGCAAACCTTATTTACAGTAACTTTATCTAATGGTCCGTGGATGAGTGCTTTTATGCAAAATAGTCTAGAGGCTAGAATTAACTTTTCACGTTGGATGCACATTTGATGTCCAGACTTGAGCAACATGTGGCATCTTATTATAGAGACTACCATTCAGGATTCAATTTGTATTTAACACATTTACTTCAGAATGCACACATCATTTTTGCCACATTTGATGTTAACTTTGTAATGATTTCTGTTTCTTGCTTGTGAGTACATAAGTAGAAGTGTTTACTTGTGGCTTTGTTTGCGATTTTCCTTTTTCTAGGTTCTTTATACTTGGTTAATGAGCTATTTCATATTTTATTTTAGTAACAGGTCACTTCTTGACATGTAACAGCTCCTTGGGTTGGGTTGATTATCATTAGCTACTTTTTAAAAGAAGTATTGGTCTTTTAGATAACTGTGCTTATTATATGTCCATTTGTTGCTATTAGTTCTTAAAGTTATTCTTGCAAATAGTAGTTAACATTGCCTTTGATTTTAACACTGTTACTAAATAAACAACTACTAGTCTGTATATACTTGGGGAAGAAAATTTGACAGCTCATCATATGCGTGGAATGCTGATTTCTTAAAACCAGGTTTATTGCTTTCAAAATATAATCGCTACTCTGTAGCTAGACCACACGATGGCCTCCGATGATCCTCACCTCCTATTATTCCTGCGCTTGTGCCCTCCCTTCCCACTCTGAATCATGACTGACCTGTACGATCAGTAGAATACTGCTGAAGTGTCAGTGTACGCCCTCTGAGGCTAGGGTAGGCCATATGCAGCATTGAAGCTCAGTTTGCTTTCTCTTGGATCACTTCCTCTGGGGGAAGTCACCTTTCATGTCCCGAGGAGAGGTCCATGAGACAAGGAACTATAAAGCCTCCTGCCAACAGCTAGCACCAGCTTGCCAACCGTTTGAGTGAGTCATTCTGGAAGCAGACACTCTCACCCCATTTTAACCTTCAGATGGTCACAACCTAAGCTGACATCTTACCTGCAGTCTATGAGTAGATTATTTTTGTGAACTTCTGATTTGTCCAGCTTTATCCTATCACAAGTATTGATATATGCACATTGTTTGGTTTCTCGTTACATACCAATGCAGTAAAATAAAATATTTTTCAGAATCACTGTAGTAATTTTTATATCTATCCTTGATTTATTAATTAATGGCCATTATAGTCATTAGAGATTTCCTAACTTAACTATGAGGATTAAGGATATCTTGTGATGCTGTTTCAACACTGAGGTTAAACATATAAAGTTAGTAATATTACCTATAAATGATTAAGACATTTATTTTATTGTGTTATTGTTAATCCTCACCTGAGGGGATTTATTTATTTAAATATATTTTTATTGATTTTTAGAGAGGAAGGGAGAAAGATAGAGAGAGAAGCACCAGTGAGGGAGAAACATTGATGGGCTGCCCTCTGTAGGTCCCTACTAGGGATTGAGCCTACAACCCGGGCATGTGCCTGGACTGGGAATCGAACCAGTGACCTCTTAGTTCATGGGTTGACACTCAACCACTAAGCCACCAGCCACGGCTGATTAAGAAATTTTCATGCATATGTAGGTTTATTTATATAAGAGTAAACAAATATTTTCTAACATAAACTAAATAAATAACCTGTAGGTCCCTACTAGGGATTGAGCCTACGACCCGGGCATGTGCCTGGACTGGGAATCGAACCAGTGACCTCTTAGTTCATGGGTTGACACTCAACCACTAAGCCACCAGCCACGGCTGATTAAGAAATTTTCATGCATATGTAGGTTTATTTATATAAGAGTAAACAAATATTTTCTAACATAAACTAAATAAATAATGATTGTTCATGGACTACCAGTTATTTAAAAGGAATGTTAAAATATTTTTTATCTGAAGGGGAAGAATACATTTTGCTTTATATAAAATTTACAATTTTCTTTGATTTAGTTTTTGTGGTTATGTCTTCTAATTAAGCTATTCTCAAATCTGACAAAAATATTAATATTTTTGAAATATAATAATGTCCTTTAGAGGTTTATTATATTCCTATCTTACTGCTGTGAGTTTTTATGACCAGGAGGTCATAATGACAAGTATTTTGCTGACTCACTTTCTTTGGCCTATGTCTCCATAGTGGTCAGACAGTTTTGTATTTAATATGCCACAGTAGATTACTATTAACAGTAAGTGTGCGTAATCCTGTTTTCAACTTTTGAAGTTATTCTACCAAAATAACTTACAGTTCGTTGTAGCAGTTGATACACCTCGTTGGAAAAGTGAAACATGAAGATCTTACCTTTCGCTGTGGTTGTAGTTATTGATAATCATTGAGGGAACCATCTCTGGGTCCCCCTTAAGAAACATGTTTTGAGTCTTGGACAGTATCAGATAAATCCATGGCAATGGTCATTTTCTCTGCTTTCTGTGCAGGAAGAAGAGAGTGAAGAGGAACCCAAACTGAAGTATGAAAGGCTTTCCAATGGGGTGACTGAAATCCTTCAGAAGGATGCCGCTAGCTGCATGACGGTCCACGACAAGGTAAGGTAGCCCTTGTAGGTGATTCTTGTGTAAGTCATTCTGTTGTAAGCTTGCTTATCCTTTGGAGTCCTGAAGCTTTTAGAGGTGATTTTTAGAGGTAATTGTGTCTTCTGCCACTCTTCCTCTCTTCTTCCTCACCACAAAAAATCAAAACAATGACCAAAAAAATTATATATATGTATTTGCACACTGTAAGGGTGTATCAAGTAGAATTTAGACAAGGATGACCAAAAACATTATATATGTGTATTTGCACACACAGAGAGAGCACACTGTAAGGGTGTATCAAGTAGAATTTAGACAAGGATGGATGTACAAGATTTATAGTAAGTGGTTCTTGGAAAGACTATTACTTAATTCCTCAAATCCTAAGTAGTAGAATAGAAAAGTATTAAGATTAGAAATAGTGTGGAGCTCAGTGCTTTCATAAGAGTAGAAGGGATTATGTTGGAGTTATTAGGAATTAATAGAATGACCCCACATTTTTACATATATATTATATGAATGAATTAATCTATTCCACATCTGAGTCTTTGCTGAAACAAAGCTCCCACCAGCTTTCTGAGTGCAGGCTAAGTACTGTACAGCACCCTTAGCCCATTCTTGGACCAAAACAAAATGTGTCATAATTGGAGTATTGGAAGCCAGGCAGTTTCGACTGTTGCCCTGTGAGCCCCAGGAGTGAGCCTTTGTCCTCCACAAAAGGCAGACTTCCCAACTTTGATCCAATTCCTGCTTTATCCTGTGTGACCATCAGTGTTGCTCATCCTCCTCCTTGCCCCACCCAGTTCCTTTGTACTTCAGATTTCATTGAATTGTAAGCAGATTCCTGTACTCACTCAGCCTGTCACTAGAACCTTCGCTGTCTCTGGTTTTACCAGAAACACCCTTCTTGAGGCACCTGCCTTTTAGCTGCACCACCACCTACACCCTCCCCCGCCCCCCATGCTGCCAGCTCCCAACTTCCTTGTCACTTTCCTTTATTCGCTGAAGACTGGCCTTGCAGTTCTTCAACCTAATTTAATTACACTTCTACACGGTTTCATCTCCCGCCATTAAGGCCACACTCCAGATGGTGTCAGGACCTGGAACCTGAGGATCTTTAAATATACTCTCTGTTTGTCAGGCTTCTGTGTTAATTTTTCTAATCCTGTTCTGTGACTTTATAGAGCCCTGGTCTCTGATCCATTCTTTCTTTAAATTTTCTATCTAATGGTTAACTATCCTAACTTCACCAGCATCTTCAGTTCTCTGATGCCCCTGTCCTTCGTTGTATCCCTCAGCCACTAAAAATGCTGTTATTGGTTCTTCATCAGTTTCTTTAGTCCTCAACCCTCCTTCTCAATCACTATTCCTTCACTTTTAGAGGGTGATGTCATTTCTATTTAATTAAGAAAATTGAAACTGTCAGGCATGGTCAACCTCAGTTCCTGACCCCTTTCCCAACTCACCTGAATCCATACCCATCTTTCTTTTCTTCGTCCTGTTCAAGGGCCTTTTAGTCTACTTTTGTTCTTCGTCTCACCTCATTTTCCACCTTCTCTCCTAGTGATATATGCTATGTCATGGAACAGACCTAACTCTAGCCCCACATAATCACTAATCTACTTTTTCTTTCTATAGATTCGCCTATATTGGATATTTCATATAAATGGACTCATACACTGTTTGGTCTCTTGTGTCTGGCTTCTTTCACTTAGCGTAATGTTTTTGAGATTCCTTGTGATATAGCATGTATCAGTACTTCATTCCTTTGTATAAATAGCACAAAGTAGTATTCCATTGTATAAACAGCACATTTTGTCTATCCATTAACCAAATGATGGACATTTTACTGCTTTTAAAACTGTGGATTTCGCCTTCTCAAAACTTCTGTATCATGACACCATTCTGTTTTAGGTTCTTGATCTTTCTGTTACTCCCTCTGGTTCTTTCACTTACTTTTACCTCCATCTTTCCCCTACATGTTGGTTTTCCCAAGGTTTGGTCCATTGTCTACATTTCTTCTAATTTTGTGATTTTTCAGTTTCATGATTTCTATGACCACCAACGCTGCCTCTTCCAGAATATTGTACTTATTTATTCACCTCTATCTTTTGTTCTGTTTTTTCTTTTAAATATATTTTATTGATTTTTTACAGAGAGGAAGGGAGAGGGATAGAGAGTTAGAAACATTGATGAGAGAGAAACATCAATTAGCAGCCTCCTGCACACCCTCCACTGGGGATGTGCCCGCAACCCAAGGTACATGCCCTTGACCAGAATCGAACCCGGGACCCTTCAGTCCACAGATGGACGCTCTGTCCACTGAGCCAAACCGGTTAGGGCCTTTTGTTCTGTTTTGACCTGAAACTCAGCATGTTCATAATGAACTCATCTTTTCCCTCTAATCTTGCATCTATTTTTGTTCTCTCTCTCATTTGTTGGCGCCACCATCTCCTCTGTCATGTAAGCCAAAGCTGACCCTGCTCCTCTAACACCCAATCATTCCTTAAGTCATGGTGCTCTTCTTACCCCCTTGCCCTAGCTGAGGTCCTCATCTTCTGTCTGCACTTATGTGTCTAATATTTCTACTTTTAACCCATTTGCCACCTGATTGCCAAAATGATCTGTTGAAAGTACGTATTTTAAAACCTTGTATAATTTTCATTATTTACTAAATAGAGTCAAAGTTCCTTAATGTGGTATGTAAGACAATGATCTTGCCCTCTGTGTAATTGGCCTTGTGTCTTACCACTTTCTGTCATAACTGTGGTGCTCTGACAGTTGTGCTTGGCTGTTTTTGTTTTTGTTTTAAATTTTTTAAATTTTCATTGATTTCAGAGAGGAAGGGAGAAGGGGAGAGAGAGAGAAACATCAATGATGGGAGAGAATCATTGATGGACTGCCTCTTGCAGACACTCCACTGGGGATGGAGCCTGCAACCCGGGCATGTGCTCTTGCTGGGCATCAAACCCGGGACCCTTCAGTCCACAGGCCTATGCTCTGTCCACTGAGCCAAACCAGCTAGGGTGTGCATGGCTGTTTTTACTCATAACATCTCTTGCCTGGACTCCACCCCATCTCAGCTGCTTGAATGCAGTCCCATCCTGAGTCCTTTGCTTTTAGTTGAGGCATTCTTTATTTCTCCCTGGAACTAAGGCACGCACTGTGAACCAATCTATTTTCCTTCAACGATTTGCTTTCATTCTAGTCCATTCCTAACAGTTCTTTCTTCTAGAAACTCAAATCTGATCGGATAATCCTTCCTAGAAGTCTTCATTGGCTCCCTGATGTCTTCATGATTTGGACACACATACTCCCTCCTTAAACTTTTCTACCTTTCATCTCTCCATAAATATTAATGCCTTCTATTAACCAATCTTTCCTGCCCAATTGCCTGTCTCCTCCCCTGGGCATGAGCTGGGTGCTTCTGTCATGTAAAACTGCGTGTAATTTCTTGACTTTTTCTGCTTTTTTTGCTCTGTGCCTTTGAGCAAGTTGTATTCACTCTGCCTAAAATAGTCTTTACCACAAGTCTGCCTCATTTGCCTCAGAGCCTATTGTCCAACTCTTTCAAAGTTCAGAGTTCAGCACAGCTAATATCTTTGATGTTTCATAAAGTTCTTAGAGATATTCCATTTTAAGTAAACTTAAATTTAATTATAATTAATCATATTTTTATATCTTTCTCGCTCATTGTAGTGTCACTCTTTTAAGTCATACTTGCTTATTGTCTAAGCATATTGTAGTTGCTTTTGTGTTTTGTGTGTTGAATGAACCATTGAATGGATGAAATGGAGAACAAAGTTTACATGCTCGGACATCACATTTTATCAACACTATACTTAAACCAACTTGGTCAAGGAGCCTTGGACAGTTGGAACTATAATCCGTGCTAACTTTTAGATCATACACTCTTGATCTGAGGCTCATGTTTCTTTTTATGAGATTTCTGGTGCAGTGGAGAGTATTTTAACTCTTAATTCTGTACCTAGCTCTGCCATTCATTGACTGTTTCTAGGGAAGACATATGAACTGCCCAACTTACTTCCTCTCATGTAATTGAAGGCACTCTCTGCTTTGATACTAAAAATGCGATGTGAAACAGATAATATGCAGTTGACCACATTTGAAATGTTTCCTCTGCAAAGGACTGCTTGTCACTTCTACTTGTTTACGTACAGAAAGCCCAGTCACCCTCACCAGTTTGGCTCATTGGATAGAGCCTGGCCTGCGGACTGAAGAGTCCCGGGTTCAATTCTGGTCTAGGGCATATGCCTGAGTTGCCGACTCAATCCCTAGTAGGGGGCATGCAGGAGGCAGCCAATCAATGATTCTCTCTCATCATTGATGTTTCTATTTCTCTCTCCCTCACTTCCTCTCTGAAATCAATAAAAATATATTTAAAAAGAAAACAAACAAACAAAATCAACCAAAAACACAAAAAGTCCAGTAAAAGCAGTTATGTTAGGGGAGTGTTCAAAAGGATTGGGTGCACAATCTGATACTTTATAAAATGAATCAAGTTTCTGTAATTAAACCTGGAAGGGGCTAATAAAGCTATATTTATTCTTTGCTTATCCTGGATTGGAGGTGCTGACAGGATTAAAAAAAAATCCAATAGCTACAAATTTTAATGCCTGGAAAGATAGTCACATTTAAAGGACTTGTATTTACATTTGTGATTTATGGCCAATTTTGCCTTTTTGTGTGTGTTGTATTTTAAGTAGTCAAAAGCATTAGCAAATGTATGTATGACTCATCAATAATTTTCATAGTTAAATAAATTTTTGAAGACCTCTCCAATTGGCTTATCAAACTTGGATTATTTTAGGCACGTTAAGTTATTTCTAAAAGAGAACAGCAGTGATTTATCTAATCTAAATGATTAAATGTTTTTATAAACAAAAGGTAGCTTATCATGAAAACCGCTCCTCCACCTCCTCCCCAATATTCTAAAGTAATGATAGTTTTTAGGTTAAGCTATAAAATCAAAATAATTATTTTATGTTTCAGATCTTAACTATTAAATGGATTAAACTAGTAATGAATAAAATAAGAAAAAGGGAAGGAATTAATCTTTGGATAAAGTATCCTACATAGAACCTTTCAAACTAATAAAATAAAATATAATTGGAAGTTCAAATATGGCCTTCACAGAGATGTCAGAGAATGACCTAGTAGTAAAGCGTTTTGAGGCTCCAACCCACCTTAGTTTCCTAACAAAGTAAATACAGTATTTATGAGGAAGTCAGTACTTCAGAGTACTTGGGGTATAGTGAGGTGGAGTACTGTTTGGTTTTAGTTAGTATTGTATGGTTTTTTAATTCAAATATGGTCAGTGTCACTGTAGAGAAAAATATTACAACCAGCTGAGTCCTCTGTTTCAGATTAGAATGTTCTTTTGTTTTGGAGAAAATATCCTGGTTTTGTTTCTAGATGCAACTAATTTCCCCCCAGAATTACCTCTTGGCCCTTCCCTCTCCAGGGCCCAGGCATCCTCTTCTCACCAGGCTTGCTGTCTGCCCTGGATGAGTAATCGGCATGGCACCTGGTGCATTCAGGCGGCCTGTGCAGTGGAATCGTCATACCTAGTTATGTCTGCACATCTGATGTTTTATTAACCAGTATTGATTTTTTTACCCAGGGGACTTTTTTCTTCTTTAAAAAAGGCAACCTTGCAGGAGTGAAAGGCATTGCTGGGGATGAATTTCTAATGAACCCCTTCTTTTCCCTTTTTGTGACTCCTCTTTAAGGTAGCTTCATATTTTAAGTGCCTGAACTGAAATTTCGTTTTAAGCAATTCCATTTTGATAAATCTTTTTAAATCTTGACTTTCTATAAGGTTATTTTTTTAAAGATTGTGCTGCTTGACTGAAATGCTTAGTAGTGCCTATAAATTTGAACATTTCATTATAGGTTGCAATGAAGCATGCTTACATGCAATGAAATAGGGAATTTGGAACTATTTGAGTAGTATGTAAGGAAATAAAAAGGGAGAAAAATCTCATGTCATATTTTAGGTAGTCCTAAAGTTTCTTCTGGTTTATTTAGGTTAGTACAGATTAAAGGAACAATGGAAGTTATGAACTAGTTTCATATCATAAGATGAATATGGAGCTCAGCAGTTATTTTGTGACAGAAAAAGATTTTTTTGTATTAGAATATAAACATTTACACTCAGTATTATACATTAACTTTTATAGAGGCATTCTATTGCTAACTGATAGTATAAGTACATCTGAGTTTTTTCATCTCTAGATGTGTGAGTTTTTTCATCTCTAGATATATGGCATGGCTTTTCCTTTCTAAAATAATAGTACTTTGTTGTTTGTGTGTATATAGGTTGAATTTAAATGATAGCACAAATTTACACATTTGCCATAAATTGAGGCAAGTTGCTTAATAATTCCCTTCTGACTTTGAGTTCAACCTTAGGTTGGTCATGCTTTCATAGCTGCATTTTAATTTGCTGCCTCAGTCCATCAGGCATTGTGTACAGACCACATACACACCATTAGTTGTCAGTAGATGAGGGTCCTCATGAGTCATTCTGACAGCTGGCTTGCACTCTCACAATAAAGTAGGCCCTGTCCTGTTATTTCCCTGAAGCTGGAAATAGACCGTCTCCGAGGATTGGATATCTTCTAAGGCAGTACAAATCACTTATGCATTAAGAGTCTTGAGTTTGAAAATGGTTTTATTAGTAATTGTGTTTTAATGGTACATTAATAAACTGACCTCTTTGTTCTTCTTACAGTTTTTGGCACTGGGCACACATTATGGCAAGGTTTATTTACTTGATGTCCAGGGGAACATCACTCAGAAGTTTGATGTGGTACGTATACAGTATAAAATAATGTATGAGCTAAATATCATGCAAAAACTTGTGTTTTGGAATATTAGCAGTTTGTTTTAATAGCATAAAGGATATTTATCGATTAAATCAAGTGCTAAGAGCATATATTATATATATATATACATATATATATATGTATATACTTATATAACTGAATGTTATATGCTAAAAATTTTAAAGGTAAACTTATAAAGAAAGAGGTCTGTTTATATGTATACATTTTATATTTTGACTGGATTATCTTTTACATACAAATTCCATTTAAAATCTACTTTTATAAATTTATTTAATTGCATTTCTTTAGTTAATTATAGCCATCCATTTGGATTTAAGTGGAGCATTTAAAATACTTCTATATGTGTTCTTTTAAAATTATAACACTATACAATGTCTAGGTGAAATGTTATTAAAAGAAAAACCTTTTATTAGCAACTAGGGATCCAGTGCACGAATTCATGAACCTTGAAAGGAACTGTAGGCCGCGAGGCTGTGGTGGGCACAGGGATGGGTCTTGGCCCATCCTCCGCGCCCTCGCCTGGCCCCTCCCTCCGCGGCCCCTGGTCCCCTGCCTGCCTGCCTGCAGCCCCACTCCCACGGCCGCTGCGCCCACAGAAATAAAAATCATTTGGGAATGAGACAAATGGAAAGAAGTTTTGAGAAAGATTCACCTCTTTGGAAAGAAAACAATTTTGTCCATTTGTTGTGTCATCACTGTTCCAAGTTAACACTTGGGTTTAAATTTTCTGCAGTTAAATTTATAAACAGTTTATATATCAGTCTTTGCTATTCATTAAAAATATTCCTAAATACCTTTTTATAAACTTTAAAAAACATCCTCTAACAGGAGTTTCTAACCACCTCCCCTATGAGAGCACATTGGGTGTGACTTAGATGCTGTAAACTTACAAGGACCATTTGCAACCGCATCTGACCCCTCAAATCCCAGGCTGCTGTCCCTACCCGCCGCCCAAGACCCACAGCCCCTGTGCCCAGCTGACTGGTGAAAGGCTCAGACTTTCATCTCTTGCTGCGCACTGCCAGGATGGTACAACCTCAGCAGAGGCAGGGGCATGGACCAGCCTTTCAGTCTGCAGAGGGCTTATTAGACAGACGTTCGTTTCCTAAATCCTAACAACCTTTAAAAACACAGGGAGGATTTGGAGGGGATTGCTTCCTAGGAAGCTGGCACACTGCTGATTCCTAGAGCCGTTTTCCTTTTGTTAAACTTCGTCTTCTGCCTGTGCCTGCCCCATCCCAGCAGAGAATGGGAGGAGGCTGGCTTCCACACAACGTGCATTCAAGACAGTTATTCACAATCTGGGCACAGATTAAAACATAGCTTCGACAAAAGGCTAAATCAGCCTATTGGTCCACATTTCCTCTTTTATTTGCCTGCTGTCACTGTGCTCGATCAGGTGCACATTGAGATGGTAAATGTTACCCTTATGAGACTTGCGCATCACTGAAACACTGTTCACATTTAAGACAGTGACCTGGGGATGCTACACACCTGCAGTTGCCCTCTGCAGAGAGATGGGTGAGTAGCTAACTGGAGTCAGCGCATTCTCTCCAGAGCTTGCAATGCCCACCTGCTTAACAGTCCAGAGTAGACATTTTGGGGACGTCTCCCTTGATGCCTTGGATGGTTGTCTCCAGTACTAAGTTTGGCAGATGAGCGAGGAAAACTTTAGTAGGAACATCTGAGTAAATCAGTGTGAGCAACAGCATAAGGAGCCAGCCAACTTCCTCTTTCTAATATCCATACTAGAATTGCTGAGCTCTTGCCAGCTACCAGATGCTATGCTGTTGGTAGGCATGATACCACTGTCAAACAATCTGTTTTACTGAAAAGCCATTGTTAAAAGAATTTGTGTGTTCGGTACATAAATGACCTGAGAAGAAATACAACTGACAGTTTTCAAAATGGTGAAAAATAAATGTGTGAAGTCCAATTAAGATTATTTGTTTTTAAACGGAGCCAATTTTCCTTGCTTATACATGTATCCAAAAAAGATACAAAGAAAGGAGTGATTTAAAAAACAAAAGGAAAGCAGATTTACCAGACAAGGCAAAGTTATTGGAATATTGCAAGGGAATAGTGCAGAAGAGAAATTTACCAATAAGTGCATTTAACAAAAGAGGAACTAATATTACCAATAGCCCTCCACGATACAAAGAGGCCTGCCTTCAAGGTATTTTATGTACAGTCTGTAACCCCAGCACTTGGTAAGACCTCTATTTTAGAATTTAACACATTATATGATAGGTCATTGTTTACATGACTAGCTCCACACTAATTACACCTGAGACCAGGGGGCTGCATTGAATTATTCTTTACATCCCCTGCACATCCTCACAGAATGTTTGCTGAAGGAGTCAGAAGCAATCACTGAATATGAAAGGTGAACTCCTGTGTGAGGTCATCAAGGAAGGTGTCACAAAGCAGGCGGGACACTGGGCATCTCCACAGGCAAAGATGGGAAAGCACGTTTCAGCAGTAGCGGAAGCACCGCGTCTGGGCGCACTGCAGGCCACAGCGTGGAGAAGACTGTAGCCCAGACAGCAGGAGCCCTCCGGGCTGCCAAGAAGAGCTCTGTTTTATTCCACAGGCATCAAGGAGGCACTCAAGTGTGTTCAGTCAGGGGAGTAACAAAATCCCAGCACTCCTGTGGGAAGATTACTTGGGCAGCTCTGTGAAGGATGGATTAGGAGAGACGTGTGGCGGGGAGATCAGTTGGGTTTCACTGCAATAACCCAGCTGAGATTCAATAAAGACTTGAACAAGGGTGGTGGCGATATAAGAAACCAGCAAAAGAAAGAATGAGCTAAGAGAAGAATCTAGGGCCTATACAGGGAATAATGGAGGATATAAACATCACAGAAATGGAAGTAAACTCTGAGGAGCAGAATAGATGAGGCTTTCTGAGGAGACGATATATTCATCAGTTAGGCAAAGATGGGCTTTTTCTTGGCTACAATATTTAGATTAAAAAAAATGCACCTTTACTTTGGCCCACTAGACCCCACTGATAAAGAAACAAGGACTTAGGAAAGATGCACAGTCTAATTAAAAGGCAGGACCTTGTTGGGAGCAGTAATTATTATTATTTCAAATAATAGTTTAGAATAGAAATAAATACTGATGTTTTAATGCTGAAATAGGTTTAACTGAAAGGTGGACACCATGAATAAGGTATCCTCTGCAGCTGGCTGTGCTGTCAAGATTCCTAGCCTACAGGGTTCTAGCATGACAATTCCAAAAAACAAAATTCTTTTTTTCCCAGAGAGCAATTCTCTAGAGCAGGCATGTCAAACTCGTGGCCTGTGGGTCGCATGCCTTGTTTATTGGGCACGTGTTAGCCTTTGAGTTTGACATGCTTGCCCTAGAGAATATATTTTTTTTCTATGAGTTAATGCAACAGAAATGGGATTATCACCCCAGAAACCATGCAATTAGAAAAGGAACAATAAATGTATTATTATTCTTTAAAATTAATTCTTAGAGGGCTTCCCCTTAAACTACCCAAGTCCTAAGCATCTGTTGTGCAGCACCTTTGAGGACAAACTTCATGAACAAAGTCAGCTCAAGAAAGCCAAGTATGGTGCAAATCCATGATGACTGCAAACCTACGTGAACATCTCAGCAGGGCCCACAGATATCTTTGCTTAATTTCTCTATATGTAAGATACCATCAGTGATAAAGGAATAATCTGTTAGGAGAAAAGACATTCTTAATTTTTTCTCACTTTTATTTGTAACATGATAGCAGCAGCATTGCTAATGCATTCTATTTATTTAAAAACAGTTAAGAAAGTAAAGCCTTTGTGTTTTCACAAATGGGGAAAAAAATCACCTATCTAAAAAGGGCAATACAGATACTTTAAATAGCTGAGACCAACTTATTAATCAAATAAAAACTGCCTAACTTGTTTTTCATATATAACCTGAAGACCATTTAAATCATCACAAATTCAGCTGTATCTTTGCCACAGAAATTATTGTTATAAAGCTCTCCAGTGTAAAAACATTGCTTTATCAATTCCCCTTTTAAGTCATTTCCCAAGTAGATTGTCATCTCTCAACAATTCTCAAAAGAAGCATCTTGTAAACCAAGTTGCTATGTCTCTACTAAAAAATTCCTGGAGTCAATTCACTAGACCTGCATTGGGAACCATTTCACAGAGCCTGGTTACATAAGTAAGCATGTTCTTAAAACACCAAAGAAATAAACCTATTTGTTCCACATATGGACTCCAAGAAGAAAGTCATTTGACCTGAATCCCCAAAAGAAATTTATCAGCTGAGATGGACTCCTCATGGTCAACCAGGGCCCCATCAGTCTTCATTTCCAGTCATCACAACAGCACTTCTCTTTCTGCATCCGTTCTGGGGTACCTGAATTTCTAGTTATTTTATTTTTTACTAGAGGCTCAGTGCACGAAAATTTGTGCACTCAGGGGGTGAGGGGGTGGTCCCTTAGCCTGGCCTGCGCCCTCTCGCAGTCCGGGACCCCTCAGGCGATGTCTGACCCCCCGCCCCCCGGGAGATTGGGCCTAAGCTGGCAGTCAGACATCCCTCTGGCAGCCCGGGAGCCCTTGGGGGATGTCCAAGTAACATCTTAGCCGTTACTCGGACATCCTTAGCACTGCCGCTTGCCAGCCATGAGCCAGCTTCTGGCTGAGCAGCGCTCCCCCTGTGGAAGCACACTGACCATTTAGGGGGGCAGGTCCTGCGTTGAGCGTCTGTCTGTAAGGCACTGGTGGTCAGTGCGCGTCATAGCAACCGGTCGTTCTGCTGTTAGGGTCAATTTGCATATTATGCTTTTATTATATAGGATATCTTTTTCTTATTTGGTTGTATTGTCTAGGACCTTTAATAAGGTGTTGTTTCCAAAGAGGAAGCTCTCAACATTTCGTCAATATGTTAGGTTGGTAGTATTTAATTTAATAGCAACATGTCCTTCATCTTTTATTGTAGG